TTTTCTCTATAGTGTGATTTGGCTGCATTTCATATAGTTAGTCACTTTTGATCATTTTTTTCCATGATGCAGGAGCTGGAACATATCTTCATTAAACATTAATATCTAAGTGTCATCTACAAAGAATATGGTATATTTTGTGTCCTTGTCTATGTCCGATATAAGGATGAAAAAAGTACTGGAGCAAGGCACAGTACTTTGGGGTACTGAACTTTTCATGTTTGATGATCCGGATTTTACTTTGTTGAGTATTATATTCTGGGTTCTGTTCGTCAGGAAACTGAAGATCCATCTTCCTATTTTGCCAGTGATTCCTAGTACAGTATGTTGGTGATATCAGCAGTGTCTAGGCTGTTCAAATGTTAAGGGGTCTGTGATAGTGGTTTTCCTGAGGGGAGCCCCTGCGGCTCAATGGAGCTACCAGGCTGGCTAGTTTATATTTTCTGGCTTGTTTGTTTACGAAGACAACGTTGTTCTTTGTTTTCAGCCATGTTGGTGTCCATTAATACTTGCCTTTTGTGTATGGTCGGTCTCACCTCGCCGGCACTACGTCATAAACAACTTTAACTTTGTTAATACTACTTAAGTGTCAAAGAAGTGACTGTCGACAGTAAGGGGGAGAGAAATATTACTGGCAATTTGGTGACGATGTGTGTGAAAGATTATGAATGCAAATTATGTAGTATGCCGCATGCTCACACTAGATCACTAGGCATTAGTATAAATTACTTGAACAGTATAGATGTAAAGAAATTATTATTCTGCATCAAATTGCATGGATGCATGATAATGGTGTGATAGACAGCTCTTCGCCTAAATAATATATATATATATATATATATTTATATCAAGTTCAAGTACGTTTGAGACAAAATATACCTGAAAAGGTTAGAGCGGCTTATTCTATTTCTACTCCAATATGTATACTTTTTAGGCTTGTATCGACGTCCCCCCCCCCCATTCCCCCCTATCCAACATTCCAACACTTTGCCCCAAGAATGTAATACTAATATTCTTGTAATATATATTAACTGCATCTATGTATGTACTTTTCCTAGATAAATTATTATTATTATAATTCATGTAAATGTTTTGTAATGTAAAATGTGATTATTGTTTGTGTATTGTATGGCTGTGAGAGGCCCTGTTACGTGTGGCTGATGGGGGGGGGGTTATCCTGGGTGTTATTAACTTTTTTGACTTACCAACATATCAGTTGTAGCCAGAATCATGGAAGAGACTTGCCAAAGGTAACAGTTCCGGGACATTAGCCTTCCTGGCGGGTGTGTGGCCGGGGGGACCCCTGGGGAAATTCCTAAATAACAATTGGGCATCCTCACCAAGTAAACAGATAAGAGAAAATGCTTAACATTAATATTTATTAGCAACCACAACCCACTCTCTCACTTAATAAAAAAAAAATCTTGCCTGTTTTTAAATGTACATTACTATTCTCTTCTTTCTTTGGAGAGGAGCAAGAACATACATATATATAAATATTGAAAATATATAAAAATATACAAAAAATACTTGTCTAATATACAAATATTGGAGAAGCCTACAAATACTAGTGGAAGAGTGAGCATGCACAGGAAAACTGGTGCATTACACTAACCCCAGATCCTTTCATGGAACACTATCTGAACATAGACGGGGGTTTACCAGTTGTATTTGTCTCTAATATTACTATATATAAACACAGTGGCAGGCAACTTGATGGTACAGACTTGGACAATTAATGACATGGCTATCTTGAGGTTATCTTGAGATGATTTCGGGGCTTTTTTTTTTTATTGTCTCCGCGGCCCGGTCCTCGACCAGGCCTCCACCCCCAGGAAGCAGCCAGTGACAGCTGACTAACACCCAGGTACCTATTTTACTGCTAGATAACAGGGGCATAGGGTGAAAGAAACTGCCCATTGTTTCTCGCCGGCACCCAGGATTGAACCCAGGCCCACAGGATCACAAGTCCAGTGTGCTGTCCGCTAGGCCGACTGGCTCCCTTGTACTACTTGGCTAAACTAACTGGTCTGTGCCCTAAGACTGCCATGGACCAATACTCCCTGCCTACTAGGCAGTGTACATGGAAAAAGCTTCTACTGAACCTCTCCACTTCATTTAAGCTAACTTGCCAATTATTTAATAAAACAGTTCATAAATTTACATTCTTACTAACTATTCAATGTTTAGTTACCCGCTAAGGTCATAAAACATAGCCAGTAGTTCACATTTTCTCAAGTAATCGTACCTCCGGCAGCGCTGTAAAACCCGGTAAGCAACAGCATTCACATAACGTTTACTCTGGTCTCTCACACCGTTGTTTGTCTCCACGTAGACCCTCTGGTCCTCTGGTCATATGAGGCCCTTGAGGGACATGCAATAGAGGAGGGCAGCCCATCCTCCTGTTTTGATAGTACTATTTATAGGAAGCATGAAGACCATAGTACATATACCGACATAGAGCACAGTTGGAAAGAAGAAATCAGTACTATTGAATTTGGATAAACCACAAAACTATTGTATTTATGTTGCAAGGACAAACTAACCTTTCTAGGCCTATAAGCTATCTGAGGCCTAATATAGTACATGTGTGAACTATAGCTAGGCCTAGGAATATAAATTATAAAGTGAATAGTACAGAATTGTACAATGTACTTGCCTAGTATGTCAATGTTTGCACTGATGCACACGGTTACAAGAAGTACTATCTAAAGAGGAGAAGGAGTTGAGGAGGGTAGAAGTAACCTAAGTAACTACTCATCCTTTAGGGATGCAGTTTATTATCTCAATCAACTTGAACTTGCCTAGTACATGTTTGGTGCAAGAAGCGCCAAGGGAGCCAGTCGGCCGAGCAGACAGCACACTGGACTTGTGATCCTGTGGTCCCGGGTTTGATCCCGGGCGCCGGCGAGAAACAATGGGCAGAGTTTCTTTCACCCTATGCCCCTGTTACCTAGCAGTAAAATAGGTACCTGGGTGTTAGTTAGCTGTCACGGGCTGCTTCCTGGGGGTGGAGGCCAGGTCGAAGACTGGGCCGCGGGGACATTAAAGCCCCGAAATAATCTCAAGATAACCTCAAGATAAGCGTTCAACTGCTAAACACTTATACACTACTTTGTTTGTTTATCTCTGTTCCCAAATCCATCCTAAGATGAAAATTGAATCTGAGAAAATTCATTTAACTGTGTTACATATTTTCTCCCAAAAAATTAAAGATAAACATTTTTGTATTCTAGGTCAAAGGTCATGTCATTTAATCTAGAAATTAAAAAAAAATTAATGTAAAATAAATTATTTTATACTGATGTTTCCTTACATCAATTAGAAGCAAAGTTATAAATTCTTTTGTTGAATTTGTAAGCAAGAATGTTACTTTTTGTCGCTTTGGCAACCTTGCTCTATGAATATTGCACATCACTGAGGGCTTAAATTTTGAATATTCTCAATATATGTTACTTTTGTGAAGCAACATCTACCAAATTTCATACAACTCTGAGATGGTCGGGTTGGGAGCTGTGATAATGGGGCGTGGAGTGACCCTTTGCAATCTTTTACTATACAAATTGACTTCTTGCAGGTTTGCCTCTTTTTGGCACGTGAGGTTGGTGGTCCTGCCGTAACATCATGGTCCTGCTGTAACACCATGGTCCTGCCGTAACACCATGGTCCTGCCGTAACACCGTGGTCCTCCTGTAACACCATGGTCCTGCTGTAACACCGGGGTCCTGCTGTAACACCATGGTCCTGCTGTAACACCGTGGTCCTGCTGTAACACCGGGGTCCTGCTGTAACACCGGGGTCCTGCCGTAACACCGTGGTCCTGCCGTAACACCGTGGTCCTGCCGTAACACCGTGGTCCTGCCGTAACACCGCGGTCCTGCCGTAACACCGCGGTCCTGCCGTAACACCGCGGTCCTGCCGTAACACCGCGGTCCTGCCGTAACACCGCGGTCCTGCCGTAACACCGCGGTCCTGCCGTAACACCGCGGTCCTGCCGTAACACCGCGGTCCTGCCGTAACACTGCGGTCCTGCCGTAACACCGTGGAGGGTCCCACTTGTCCAGTGTTGGGGAGCCCTGACCAGTACACTGAAGTGTTACACTTGTCTACATGTCTTGCAACACAGTGAGTGCTCATAGTCTTCCCATCTTGATGCCACGTATCAATAATTAGCTTTTTTATACTTTTCTGTTATGAACTGATATTCCTTTAACATTTTCATTGATATTTACGCTCTTGTGCTCTGTCTTTGAACAGGTCAATGTCTGCTGATGGCATTGGTTACATTTATTTGACTTGAGCTTTTTTGAAATTATACAGTTATTGTATTGTATTGTTCGAATGTTATTGTGCTTGACTCTAAGGTACCATTGGCAGGAGGAGGGTGTGGTGGGGGAAGTGTTCACTGGGAGAAGATAGCACGGGAGGGTGGTGTGGGGGTGAAGGGTGTGGTGGGAAGGTGTTCACTGGGAGAAGATAGCACAGGAGGGTGGCGTGGGGGTAAAGGGTATGGTGGGAGAGGTGTTCACTGGGAGAAGATAGCACGGGAGGGTGGCGTGGGGGTAAAGGGTGTGGTGGGGGAGGTGTTCACTGGGAGAATGAGTGCACTCATGGTCCCAGAGTCTCTAATCATTTACGTCCTGTGAGAACTAAAGCCATTAGTGGCTGTTCCTCATCTTTAACAGATACAAGGTCCCAGTTTCATCTCCCAGACGTTGTTTTCTTGGATTTCCAAACTAACTGTAGCTGAAAGTGGGAAAGTTCTCTGATCTTAACTGTCCAAATTACTTTGGTCTTCCTTCATTCACCTTAGTTTGTCTTTCTCAGGATTGGAAAATTTGCTTTCCTAATCTCCAATTAACACTAATTGATGAATGTTGATTTCTTGGTGAATTGTGATGTTTTAAAGAGTTGTAAATTATTTTCCAAATTGATATCTTTTCTGTATAAATTTATAAATTCTTGATAAATTTCTTGATAAATTGATATTTTTTCTTAAACAACACTGAAATGTATTTGTGTTGCAGCCCAACTGGAGGAAACCGAAGGGTATTGACAACCGTGTGAGGCGGCGCTTCAGAGGGCAGTACCTCATGCCCAATGTTGGTTATGGTTCAGCAGCCAAGACCAAACACATGCTTCCTAATGGCTTCAGAAAGGTCCTCATTCATAATGTTCGTGTAAGTATGGAAAAGCTATTTTTCTGAGCCTGAAAACATATTATGTGATGAAAACCTTATAGGCTAGAGTTCTAAACTCCTGCAGTTGGCGGGGGTGTATGGTGACGTTTATCTTTACTGATGAAACTAAAGCAATGTGTATGTTGTTGACAAGATTTGTTGTTAATAGGCATTTTTAATTTCCCAGGAACTGGAAGTTCTGATGATTCAAAATCGTACTTTCTGTGCAGAAATTGCCCATGGTGTTTCCTCCCGTAAGCGCAAGGATATCGTTGAGAGGGCAAACCAACTATCAATTTGCCTGACCAATGGATCTGCGAGACTGCGTACTGAAGAATCCACTTAAAATAAAATTATGGTTATGATTGAATTTTCCTTTAAAGTGACCTAAAATAGTTTAATTGAACTAATAAATGATCTGCATGTAGAGATTAATGTTTTAGAATGCTTAATTTACTTTGTTGCAGTCCTGTGCACACAGCATTTGTAGCATAGCCTAATTTGGGTATAATTTAGGTCCATGGCCATGCAGTGCCGGTACAGCATGTCTAGGTATTGGTGACCATCACAAGATCTCCGTGACATGGGTGTAATCTTCAAGAACTGAGGTGTTCTGTGGTCACTTCTGCCAGGACATACACTAATCATATGCACTAAATTCTCAAATATAATGGAATGAAAATGTAATCTGCACAACATTCATTTGAAGACACTAAAAGCTGTCATGCTTGAAACAGTATTCTGTGTAAAACTTAAGGTCTCACGTGCACTGTCTACCCCTGACAGCTGAGTGGATAGTGCTTTGGATTTGTAGTCCTGAAGTTCCGGGTTCGATCCCCGGTGGAGGCAGAGACAAATGGGCAAAATGTGCCTCTTACCCTGATGTCCCCCGTTACCTAGCAGTAAATAGGTACCTGGGAGTTAGACAGCGGCTACGGGCTGTTTCCTGGGTGTGTGTAACTAAAAGGAGGACTGGGCGGGGACGCTAAGCCCCGAAATCCTCTCAAGATGACAAAGATAATCCCAGTGGCTGAGTCTGTCATCAACAAGACAGACTGCAGTAGCCTGTGAGTTTTATAGAAATAATACTTGCATACAGTGTTCAAACACGTGGCTGAACTCTGCACAAAGAGAACTAGCTGCTCTACAATGGCCACTGAACTGTAGTCTTTTAATGTAACCTCTTTAGTGATTGAAGTTAAATGTAATCTAATGTGAAGAGTCTTGGCCTTGTCCATAATGAGTTGCGAAAGACACGGTGCAATGCTATTCCCGCAGTGGTTCCCGCCAAAAGGCGAGGAAGGACCCCGACAGTGGCAATAAACATTGATGTCACCAAAGATAAACAAGACACGTCCAGATGTTTCATTGAGGAGGACATTAAAGATTTGAGTCAAATAACATCCCATGTACTAAGAAGGCAAGTTCAGCTTTAGCTTGCTATTGAGTGTCATGCATGCTTAACTCCTGGACACTCGTGAGACGACGTACTGCTCCTCTGCTCCTTTTTGTTCAAACTGCATTCTTCCGCTTTCAGTCGTTGACCACTTAGGTGGGATATAGATAGACGAGTCCCCGTGGTGTAATGGTCTAGACATCTCCCGTCACGCAGGGTGCATTCGCACCTCCACAGATCTCCAGTATCAGCTATTGATACTGGTAATGGCTCAAAAGGGCCACCACTTTCGGGCTATTTATGCCCGTGCCACCTTTTGGGTGGCTTAATCTTCATCAATCAATCAATGGTGTAGTGGTTAAGACACTCTTGGCGTTTCTTGAGCGCTTTGTCCTGGGTTCGTATCCTGGCCGGGGAGGATTTACTGGGCGTCAATCCTCGACTGTAGCCTCTGTTTATCCAACAGTAAAATGGGTACGTGATTGTTAAACAATTTGGCGGGTCGTATTCTGGGAACATAGGATTAAGGACTTGCCTCAAACGCCATGGTTGCTGGTGGCTGTACGAGAATGTAAGAACTCTTGCATATATAAATAAATAAACGAGTGTTACTAAGGTAGTGCCAGGTACTATATAGTATATGTTTTTTGTTTCCGCTATTTGTGAATTATTAGCCTGATAAGTTGGGCTATAATGTTACATTTTCCTCATTACGTTAAATGGTTGTTGTCCTGGCATGACGGAGACGTTTGGGCAACATTTCATTACCCCCTAATGCCTCTGTTTACCTAGCATAAATATTATTCGAGTAACTGTTATGGCGTGTATCGTGGGGAAGATCATTCCTGCCTTGATGGGCTCTTGGTAAGCTCACCAGCTTGGTACCCCAACAGTGGGAAGCCCCGTGTGTGTGTGTGTGTGTGTGTGTGTGTGTGTGTGTGTGTGTGTGTGTACTCACCTAGTTGTGTCTGCAGGATCGAGCATTGACTCTTGGATCCCGCCTTTCGAGCATCGGTTGTTTACAGCAATGACTCCTGTCCCATTTCCCTATCATACCTGGTTTTAAAATTATGAATAGTATTTGCTTCCACAACCTGTTCCTGAAGTGCATTCCATGTGTGTGTGTGTGTGTGTGTGTGACGGACCCCATGTACCAGGTGGGTGTATATACATAGCATAAACACACATGTACGCAGTTGCTCTCACTAAGGCAAATAAATATTTCTGTTCTGTTGCTCAGAATTTGTTTTTACTGTACTTTCACGTGTTTCTGCGAGTATACGGTGAGGTCTAGACCATTGGTTTGTGTGTACACTGGCTGTTTGTACCATGTGTGTGTGTAAACTGCTTGCTGGTACCATGTGTACATGTGCATACACTGCCTGTTTGTATCGTGTGTACATGTGCATAAACTACCTGTTTGTATCGTGTGTACATGTGCATAAACTGCCTGTTTGTATCGTGTGTACATGTGCATAAACTGCCTGTTTGTATCGTGTGTACATGTGCATACACTGCCTGTTTGTATGCAGGCGATGAGTCACAATAACGTCGTCGTCCCTTCAATTTCTAGTGTGTGGTCTGGTCTACCTGTTTGTACTATGTATCAAAATCCTAAAAAACAGTATGAGGACATGTTTAACACTCCAATAAACAGCATGAAAGTGGAAGATCCAGACAACTTCTTTATGCGTGATATCTAAACCCCTGTAAATATAACTGATATCAACACGAGCGTACTAGGTTTTGAAAGATAAACTGAAAACGTGCCATCCACTCGGCTCCGGGTCCAGATTCATGGAATTCAATATTTATAAAGAATTGCAAGGTGCCAGCAGCACAGGCACTCGGTATAGTGTGGAGGAAGAGCTTGGACACGGGGCAGATACCAGATGCGCTTAAAGCAGCAGACATAACCCCTCAACACAAGGGAGGTAGGAAACCATTGGCAAAGAATTATAGACCAGTTGCACTAACGTCCTACATAAAAGTATTTGAGTGATTAGGAGTCGGGGTCACCAGTTTCATTGAGACCAAAAACCTTCACAACCCAGGCCAACATGGGTTTAGAGCGGGAAGATTGTGCCTCTCACAGCTACTTGACCATTACGACAAAGTCACCGAGGCATTAGAAGAAAAACAATGCAGATGAGGTATATACGGACTTTGCAACGGCATTTGATAAATGTGACCATGGCGTGATAGCACACAAAATGAGGTCAGTGGGGAATAACTTAAAGTAGGACGCTAGATACACGATTTTCTGTCGAACAGAACACACAGTAACAGTCAACCACATAAAATCTAGTCCAAGCGCAGTTAAAAGCTGTACCTCAGGGTACAGTCCTTGTACCACTGATTTTCCTTATTCTCATATCAGATATAGACAAAAATACAAGTCAGCTTCGTGTCATCCTTTGCAGATGACACAAAATCAGCATGAAAATTACTTCTGCTGAAGACATTGAAAAACATCAAGCAGATATTAATAAAGTTTTCGACTGGGCAACAGAAAATAACATGATGTTTAACAGTGATAAATTCCAGGTACTCAGGTACGGTAAAAATGAGGACCTTAAACATAATACAGAGTACAAAACACAATCAAATGTACCCATAGTAGGAAACTAGATCATTTTCTCCAAAGAGTGCCGGACCAACCAGTCTGTGGTGGATATGTGGGCCTGCGGGCCGCTCCAAGCAACAGCCTGGTGGACCAAGCTCTCATAAGTCAAGCCTGGCCTCGGGCCGGGTTAGGGGAGTAGTAGAACTCGCAGAACCCTACCAAACAGTTAATGTGTGTACACTACCTATTTGTACACTGTGTTTACATGTGCATAAACTGCCTGTTTGTACCATGGGAAATAGGCTTACAGGTTCCCTAAGATGGCTTACAGGTTCCCTAAGATGAGAGGAGTAGGGAAAAAACGTGACGTAGAGGTCCCCTCCCCCTCACACCTGAACATCTGTTACAATAGGTGCAACGGACGTCCAGGTGGAGCGGACCCTCTACGTCTGAGGGGGCGTGGTCGGAACCTCCGCCCCCTTGGAGATAGTGGGAGGAGAGATGTGGGAGCTGTATGTGTGTGTTACGCCCCGCCCTCCCACAGGTGTGTGTGTCTTAAGCCCTGCCCCTTCAGGTGTGTTGTGCCTGCAGGTGACCAGTCAGGCACAGAGAGAGAGAGGAGGTGGGGCTCCTCCCCTGTCGTAGGTGTGTCGGTCCCCTAGGTGAGCGTGTGAGCCAATTAGATTAGGGGGATTAAGCCCTTCCGTTTTTCTCCTCACTGTGTACGGAGGAGAGGGAGGAGACTCCTGCAGGAGAGAACAGATCTACTCTTCTCCTGCCTTCAGGAGAGAGACACAGACAGACACAGAGTTTCTCCCTTCCCCTTTCCGTTTCCTTCCCTGTCCCCCCTATCCCTTCATCCCATACCATCCCTGTCCCCCCTCCCTTCTTACCCCATACCTTCCCTGTCCCCCCTATCCCTTCATCCCATACCATCCCTGTCCCCCCTCCCTTCTTACCCCATACCTTCCCTGTCCCCCCTATCCCTTCATCCCATACCATCCCTGTTCCCCCTATCCCTTCATCCCATACCCCTCCCTGTCCCCCCTCCCTCCTTACCCCATCCCCCTCCCTCCTTACCCCATACCCTCCCTGTCCCCCCTCCCTCCTTACCCCATACCCTCCCTTTTCCCCCTTCCCTTGACCCCACCCTAGTATCTTGAGACCCTATTCCATCTCACAAATCTTCACACCTATGGAACAGCTTTCTCCATCAGCAGAACGCTCGCCAAGAAGGGGACATGAGAATGAACAGAAGAAAGTGAGCTTCAAGGCAATGTACATTAACATAGATGGGATTACAAATTAAACAAGTGAACTTGGAGAATGGGGCACTGGAAGAAAACCCAGACATAATAGCCCTTACAGAAACAAAGCTAACAAAAACTATAAGTGCCGTGTTTCCGAA